TCTACCACCAACTATTTTTATTTATAAAAACTTTTTCTTTTGATTTTCTAAGCACATCTTTTGCTACTTGTTTAATAGTGTTTGTTACTTTATCTCACATAACATTTGCTTCTTCATGAATATCTCAAATTTTGAAATCTTGAATTTTACTCATAAAAATAATTTTATTTGTATCTTTTAAGTTTCTTCATCTAATTCTACAATATTAAGTCCTAGTATTCTTTATTTAACAACTCTTAATCTTAAAATCTAGAACTAATAAACTATGTTGGGTACTTAAATTTTCACTTGGAATGACCTTACAATCTTTACAATCTTGGCGATCTCTTCTTCTCATAAGAAAATAATCAATTTGTGTTTTATTAGATCCACTTTATAAGTAATAAGATGTTCATCTCTTTTCTTGAATAAATTATTAGTAATAACAAAATTATACGCTAAAACAAAATCTAAAATAACTCTACCTTGTTCATTAGTTACTCCAAAACCGTAGCCACCATGAGTATTTCTGAAGTCTTCTACCACTCTACCGACATGTCCATTTAAATCTCCTCCAATAAAAATTCTTTCTTCAAGAGGTATCATTTGTATTAAGTCTTCTAAGTCATTCCAAAATTTATCTTTAGACCCTTTATCTAAACTTGCATGAGGAGCATAAGCACTTATAATATTAAAAATCTTAGTATCAATGATAATCTTAAGGACTATAATTCTATCTCCAACTCTATTAATTTTTACAACATTATCTTTCAAACTCTTATCTATAATTTCACCATTTCTAGTTGTTGTATATAAACAAAATAAACAAAAACAACATTGCAACATATATTTATCAAAGCATTTTTAATCTTCAAAGCCTCACTCTTATAATAATTCTGCAAAAAAATATAAGTATTAGTACATTACATAATAAGTGGAAAATATTAATCAACCTAAATTAAGAAACCAAACAACAGTACATAATATGTGATAACTAGAAAATGTTAATCATCCCATATAAAACAACTAAATAGTAGTCCAAAAAGAATATAAAATAATCATTTGTGCATTCATAAATAAAATTAGTGATGTCTTGAGTGAAAATTGATAAAAATGAATGTATGATGCATTGTTGCTCAAGAATCTCCCAAAGGAATACCCAAAATTTTCTCCTAGCAACTCTTGTTGTAAGAAGATATAAAGTTTTTTAGTATATTTAAAACGTTGTAGTAGGAGAATAAATTTAATTTGAGGGCTTGAATCAAAATGAGAAAGATTTATCATAGGTGTTTTAGCTTTTTTTTTTGTGCTGATCTGATCCAATTAGCTGCACAAACCAAAGCATTAACTATTTTTGTAGCTAAACAACTTTTATAATCATCTAGCACCCTACCATCGACATTGAATACCGATTCATAAGCATCTGTTGTTATTGGAATTAATAATACGTCTTTTGCCATTGTAAACTGGTATGATTATTTTAGTGTATTCATTTCCTTCCATTAAAATACATCAAACTGCACATAATTGAAAACTAATATTTCTTTCTCAAGCTACACTTGCATGTCAGAATTTGTCAATTGTATCAAACCAGATGGCATAACAAAATCTTTAAATCAAGCATGCAATCAAATTGAGATGAACAAGTGGGATCAAGAACAGATCTGGTAGAGGAAGGCTCTTCATGTGTTGAATCATGTTTACAACTCTTTGCAGCATTTATTGCATATGTTCTCCAAAGAGCCTCTCAACATTTGTAATGTTAGAATTAAGCTCATGTGGTTCATAGATCTTAGGGAATGTAAATGAAATGAAATTTAACTTTAAACGAACATCAAGAACTGCAACTAAAGGCATTAACAAATTACACTGACACCAATATTTATCAACTTTTGCTTATTTCTCATGAACTCATCTTCAGATTTAGATTCTTCCAAAAGAAATTTTTTGATGTGCATAATAGCCAACAAAAAAAAATATTTGATGTGGGATAAGAGGCGACAGAAATTGTATTAGTAACATTATTAAAAACTAACAAATGCTTTCTGATTTTTTTCTTACCTCAAGCATTCAGAGTTTAAAGGTAGCCACTTATAATTTGTATCCCTAGATGCATAGTGCATTAAAATAATACTAGAGATGAAAACGGACTAAAACATCATATAAGTTGAATTCTAACGTGTGGGTCCATCAATACATAGAGGTCATGATGTTGATACTCCTAGTTGTTTTGAAATCTCAACAAACTTGTGTAACCTGACAGGGAACTTCTTTAGATATTTAACCGATACTCTAATATTGTAAATTATATCAGGAATTTGTTTCAAACCATTATGTATCGTTATATTTAATATATGTGCACAACCTCTTAACATGAAAAAAACCCCAGGAAAAGATTATTTTTCTCTTGATTCAAAGTTTTTTCTTAGAACAAGTAGCTGTCACATCATTATTACTGACATTATCGAGAGTAATTGTAGGTACTTTATCTTAAAGATTTCACTCTATCAAACAATCAAATATAGCATTAAAAATAAAAGTGTTAGTATGAGGAGGCTCAAGTTTGATGAAATTAATAATTCTTGTTTGAAGGTTTCAAGGTTCATCAATGAAATGGATAGTTAAGCACATATACCTTATTCTTTGATTAGAGGTCCAACAATATGAAGCTAGAGAAACTCTTTGAACATTCTTAATGTTTGTCTTTCGCTTCTCCTTCTCGACATCAGAAATTCGCATGCAACTATTTTTTATAGCCTTTCTAGATACAATTTCATAATTAGAGCTCATAAATTTTAACAAAATGTTGAACCAAGTGCGCTCCACCATCTTAAAAGGATATTCATGAATAATAATCATTAATGCAATTATTTCTCTAATTTGTTATTGGTCATATTTTTAAGAATCATATAAAATATAAATGCCAACATCAATATTAACTTTAACAGGTGAAAAATTCAACATCTTTTGTCCTTTATCTAATAAATCAATTTATTGTTGATTGAATTTGATTTTATTACACTCCCGAACATGCAGAAGAAGCTGTGATGTTGTGTATGTTTTTGACTTGGGAAACATAATGCCACAGAAGATACATTGTAGGGAAGGAGTCTCAATACCCGTAGAAATAGATTTTATTTCCACAAAATAATCCCATACAATAGATTTTCTCTTCCTACCCTTCTTAGATTGTAATTCAGGTTAAGTGATGTTAGTCTCAATGATTTGTTGAGATGCAATTTGAGATGTTTGATTGCGGCTTTCATGAACATTTTCAATCTCAACTGGTCGCAGTTCATTAGTTGATGCATATCATGATTGCTCGAAAGAAGACATGTATTATGTAAGTTTTGTAAGCTACAAATGATGCAACATGAGTTAAAAAATCCCATTAGTGGTAAGACAACAATCATGCATGTGCAAATGTAAGTGTATAATAAAGCTATGAATAATGCAAATAACATATCATACATTGTCACGTTGGATAATTGAACAAAAAAAAACAAAGAAATCTTCAATCTTAAATCAAATATATGATGTAATTTTCACTACCATCAATCAAGCATGTATGAAAGTTTAAGTTTCATAAATTAAATGTGCAAGACTAGCACAAAGATGAACACCAATTAATGCAATTTGACGAGCATGAAACTATAACCAAGACTGCATCAGTTGCTGCCACCATGCGCCTGCTCCTCCCTTCAACTTACATGCGACATTTTGAACTTTTTCTCTGGTGGTATGTCACTGTAATCGAAAAAGGTCTCCAAAAATTGCTCCCAATCAAGATAATTTTCAATGTGTAGATGACCATAAATGAAGGGAATGTCAATTTTCACCTTGAATTTACTATAGCTCCTGCCTGGACAAATAAACTTTGAATGTGACTGTCAGGACGCATACGCCTTTGATTGTGATGTTCTGATATTGCTGGTTCTTCTACAAATTCTGAATGGGATAAATAAGCCCGCCAACTAGGGTTTCGATCTTTGTCAGATCCAAGATGTCTTGAAGCTCAGGTGCTTCGAAACGTTGGGGGCGCCTCTGATTTTGAAGTGCCACTGTGGAATCATCCATAAATAGCTGGTGTGGTGCCCAGCTCTCCCGTTGTGGTTGCCAGAGGGATGAACTCACTGTCCTTGATATTGGGGAACATTGACCTCACAAACGAATTGCTTAAACTCCACAGTGAGCTTCTCTACCTTTTTAGTGAGAATGGCCTGAGCTTCACTAATAAGAAAAGAATATTAAGCAGATGACTATAAATTAAAAATCTGGGTGGCACGACACATAGCTGCTGTATCAATAAAGGCATGTTTTTATTTTGGCAATGTTTACGTCATAGACAAGCAGATGCAGGGGAAGCAATAAGAGGCATGTGCAATGTTTATGTATGGAGCACATTAGAGATGAAACTGATCACATGAGAGCATTATATGTGATCGGTTGGAATAGAGGTTGAATGTGGAGGAGGCTGGTTGGTATTACACCCTAGCCTAGAAGTGAGCGATGTTTATGGCAAGGTGGCGACTTCGATCATGAAATCGAAGGATGCATGATGGACACAATGAGATGAAGGCTTAGATGCTCATTGAACCTAAGCTCTGATGACACTTAATTGTGAGGCACACAGCGAGAGAGAGAGAGCAATGGCTTACAGTTAGAGAGATAATGGGATATCAAACTCTATTAATTCTTCAATTTAGTTCTCAACCAAGCCCTAAAAGACCTTTATTGTGAAAGGCTCTCGAAGTTACATGAATTAAATTAAAAATGTAGTTGGTAGAATGTTCATCCTAATAAAAATAACATGGTTGGAAATAGAACTTCTATACCCAAATTCAATATTACCAAAATCTAAATTGCTAATTGAAGAAATTGAATATTTAATCCATCTGTTTGATGGTTGATGATATTATATAGCTAGCTTTGAAAAGAATAAGATATTTTATCCATGTTCTGGTATCTACATTTCATTCATAGTTTTGATATCAGTTTAGATATTTGCATCTACAGTGTTCGATAAAAAATTAGCACAGATGGGAGTTGAGAAGCATCTCGAGCCCCCAAAGAATGGATTACTGGTTCCTGACCTTGTTCCAGTAGCTTATCAAACTCTGGAATCATGGAAAGTTTTGATTCAAGGACTTGCTCAAGTTTTGACTGTGGTTCCAGTCTATGTATGTAGGTGAGCTAAAAATGGTATATGCTTGTTTTCTATCTTGATTTTCTTGTTTACTTTTTTTTATTCTCGTGCATTTTTTAATTTTCCTTTCATCTAATTACAATGTCAAGCTTTCGGATGCATTGTCAAGCTGCAACAAAGTTAAATTAAAAAATTTGTCTCTCTCTTAAAGATTAGATCTTGATTTATCATTTGTTTTCAGACTCACTTATATTTTTTGCTAATCATTCAGATATACCAAGGAAAGTTACAAAAGGAAATGTTTCCCATATGCAAGTAGAGACATTTCTGATCATCTTAAATTAAAGACTTATATGATGCAGCATTGTTACTTCTATTGTTCATTATATTACTCATTTTTATTGGGACGCATTTCATAAAGATTTTTTTTTTCTTAGTCCGAGTGTTATTTTTTTTTTTAAATTTTGGGTTGGGGTGAGGGTAGGGCTGTGAATTTAGCTCGAAGATCGTTAATCGCTCGAAGATTGGGCTCATATTTAGATCGTATTGAAATAAATGAGTCGAACTACATGCCAAAATTTTGGATCGAATTTCTTTTGAGTCAACCCCGGCTCGGCTCGATATTGGATCATTAATAGCGTATGCCTGTGAATTTAGCAAATTTAGCTCGAAGATGTTTAATTGCCTAGAAATCGATTCGAATTTTTGGCTCAGATCGAGATCACGTCGAAATAAATGAGCTGAGCTATGAGCTAAAATTTTGGATCAAATTTTTTTCAAGCTGATTTTGAGCCGACCCTGACTCGGCTCGAAATCGGATCGTTAACAGCTGGTGAGGGACACTAGGACTCAGAGGCACCTTAAATTATAATAGGATGCAATGACATTACATTTATTGACACTACTTGTATGATAAAAAATAAAATAAAATTCCACGAATGTCTGATTTTGAGGGGCTTATGAGGAATAGCCTGGAATGACTCAAATTTAACATTCTCTTAGTGTTTTCTAATTAGAAAATTTTAATATCATTTTTTGTGGTTGGCAAGGGTCAATACTAACATGTCAATGCTTATTAGTATTTTTGTTTAATATTTTTGTGCTGCTATTAGTTGTTTTTTTCTTAATCCATTAAAAACTATATTAAGAAGTTTTTTTTTTCTTTCTTGTGATTTACGAGTCAGGAAGACATGAGAACTATAAATGTATCACTATCATGCAT